AGTTTTTGTGCAGAAAATCCAGAAAGCTCACCAAGCAGTGTGATGTAGAGGAGGTCTTCATATTGCCAAATTGCTGTGACTCAATTGACTGATAGATACTGGCAAATGCCCACTCAAAAACAAAGTCCACACAAAGTAGACTGGGTATGGGGGTAATGGCAACTGGCCTGAGGTCGTTAGGGGACTGTGGGGTGGTGACCTTGGGGATGGGGGGTGACAAATGCGGTTTTCCATTCATTAGGGCATTTGCTTTGTCTGAGGGATGCATTAATAAGAAAATAAGGAGTCTGCACAGGCCGGTTGGCCTGCATGGCAGCTCCCGTCGAGAGTTACTACCACTCTCTATCATCCATGAATCTATCTTAGCCTTTGAAACTTCTCCAGAGTTCCCTGCACTTACTTGCTACAAAGTTGTTAAGCTTTCTGTTCCACTCGTCCACCACCCTCATTTGTAGAACCAGTTTCTTCCTATCTCCTCCCAAACCTAAACTTATCCAACTTGGAATCCGTTGCTCCGGAGTCCCATCCTGCTCGGATATTATAAGAACTTATCTATATCCCTTATTGACCTTTCAATTCACTTAAATACTTCTATCATATCTCCCGCACCCCTTCGTCTTTCTAGGAATGCAAGTTAAGTTTCTTTAACCTATCCTGATGTGAAGGTTTCCTAAGTCCTGAATCATTTTATCATTCTTCGCTGCACCGACTCTAGTGAATTTTATATCCATTCTATAATAGGGGCACCAGAACTGAACCGCATATCGAGGTGCGGCCTAACTAGCGCAAGATATAGTTGCAATAAGACCTCTGCACTCTTGTTACTTACACTTCTAGATATAAAACCCAATACTCTGTTTGCCTTATTTCGAACATTAACGCACGGTTTTCTAGGCCGTAGGTCCGGGCTTACAAGTACCCCTAGGTCTCTTTCACAAGTCGACTTCTCTAGGTTGATGTTGTTCAGGCTGTATACATTATAAGTATTTGTTCTTCCAATATTAAGTACGCTGCACTTGCTGGTGTTGAATTTCATTTGCCATTTTTCAGACCACCCCTACAGTTTATTTAGATCCTCCTGTAATGCATTTGCATCCTGCCCTGAATTAATTTGCCGCCTTATTTTGGTGTCATCCGCAAACTTGCTTATGTCACTGCAGAACAGAGGGGGTGGCAAGTTCGACTGCAAACTCCTTGTATATTTTGATTGGGAGGTCAATTGGGGTCGTGGAGCGTTTGGATTTAAATTTCAGGAGTTTGTTGGCGATTTCATATGGTTGAACACTGGGAGGGGGGGGAGAGGGAAGGTAAGTAAGCCGGGAGGAGAGTGAGGTCAAGACTGGGTAAGGTATGACATATGGTAGGGAAATGGTTATTAATGATCTCAGCTGCCTCCAACTAGGTAAATGTGAGATGAATGGAAGTGTGGGAGACTGACGGTTTGAGACCACAGAGATCTTTTACCTTGGAGTACCACTGACCGATGCCGACTTCCTTGAGGCCGTGCACTTTCCTAGGATAATATGACTTCTTGGCCGACTTGATTTCCCTGATGACCTGGTTACATAGACTTTTGTACAGGTTGTTGTTGGTGTAGTATGCCTTGTTGCGCTGCTCAATAAGTCTTTTTATGCGGAGTGTAATCCACTGGACATCATCGGGGTGGATCGTCAGTGTCTTGGCTGGAAAGAAGTGTCCAGGTGTGTGTGTGTGTGTGTGTGTGTGTGTGTGTGTGTGTGTGTGTGTGTGTGTGTGTGTGTGTGTCCCTGTGTGTGTGTACCAAAGGGATGAGAAGTCTGGGTGTCCGTATCTCCGTGAGGTGTGTCCTGGGTCCCTAGATGTCCGTATGGGTGAGTATATTGTTGATGTAAACTTGTCACCAGTTGTCTACACCGCCCGATATTTATTTATTATGTGTTCAAGAAGGTCCGAGTGTTGGCCAAGTGGGAGCACGTGGCGTGTAGTAATGACGTTAATAAACCAGCTATTTAGTCTGAAACCTTTTTATATTGACAGATATCAACAATGGATACACCCCTTGGAAGCTTCGTTTAATTGTTTCATAGTAACACCAAGGCTGGGAACAAAGATCAATACCTGGACACTTATTCTTCTTGATCAGCTCACGTTTCAGTACCTCAGTAACCATCATCACAACACTATGGTCAGACACAACAATATTCTCACACACGAAACTTTCACACGGATGTATTAAGATTAAAACACTGAACCAATTATTAAATCAATTAACAAATTCACATAACGTTAACTAATCATTGACAGGGTGAGGAATTAACAGTGAAGTTAATGTAGTTATGATAACAATTAATTGTAAAAAAGAACAATGAAGTTAAGTTTAAATGTAGAGGTACTGTACAAGGGGCTACCACGAGAAGCACACGAGTGGAAGTGACTGTTTGTTTGTCTACATGAGGAGAGACAGTGAATGAGGTGTCTAGTTGACCCATATTAGATTCCTCATTCACTGTCCGCACCAGACAGAGGAGCCTAGACATGGAGCTGTGCACAACACAGTCACTCCTCACGCAGGCAGACAAACCAGCCATCTCCACAAACAAACAGTCATTTCCATGTAACTTCACTGTTAACTCGTCACCAGTCGTGGTTTAGTTAACTGTGTGAATTTGTTATTTGATTTAACAATCAACGAAATGAATGTTTTATGCAGGTTAGGTGAGGTTCTATACTAGCCTAACTTGATCACAAGGTTTGACTAACATACACACTTTAAACCCTCGCCCAATATTTAAACAAAAATAGCAATACCTTAAAAAATAATTACATTTTGTTCAACCTGTACAAAGACGACAAACATGTGATAAGAATTAATTATGATATTCAGTTCTTTATGTTACACACCACAAACGAGTCATCATGTGTATCGTTCTCTTAGGAGCTTCGTGAAGTTTAATGAACGTAGGACTAATGGTGATGTTATAAATTTCACAATATAATGTATAATGACTTGAAGCTCTGGCTCAGTTGTATCATAGTGGGTCTTGGATTTGAAGCTGTTATAAAGTCGCATCATCTTAGGGTTTTGGACTTTAAGCTCTGATAGATGAAGTCATATCATCTTGGGGTCTTGGACTTGACGCTCTGATAGATGAAGTCATATCATCTTGGGGTCTTGGACTTGAAGCTCTGATAGATGAAGTCATAATATCTTGGGGTCTTGGACTTGAAGCTCTGATAGATGAAGTCATATCATCTTGGGGTCTTGGACTTGACGCTCTGATAGATGAAGTCATATCGTCTTGGGGTCTTGGACTTGACGCTCTGACAGACGTAGGGATTTCACCCGGGTTCCCCAAGACCTGAAAAACACAACAGTTCAGTGAGAGATAAAGATCCACTTGTGTGTACAGGTTAAGAATATGAAGCCGAGTAGAAGAAATACCTCACCTTGGTAACTCATCCCCATCACCTACCTCACCACTACCTCACCCCTGCCTCTTACCCCTACCTCTTACCCCTACCTCTCATCTCTACCTCTCATCTCTACCTCTCACCTCTACCTCTCGCCTCTACCCAATCCCTACCTAATCCCTACCCATCCCTATCCTCTACCTCTGTACACTTAAAATAATCCACTCTATTTATCCATTCTCCTGTTTATTGAGAGGTTCCTGTCTCCCTTGATCCACCCCGAGCAAATATGGGAGCACATACATACAAACATACTCACATACATACATACAAGTAAATCACTGTAGGTGCGCGTGATCTAGGTATATGCTGATAACCACAAGGAAAGAAGAAAACACGAAGTTCCCAAGCGCTTGGGAACTTCGTGTTTTCTTCTTTCCTTGTGGTTATCAGCATATACATACATACATTCATACAATCATACATACATACAAACGTCTACGTAACCAAGTTATCAGGGAAATCAAGTCAGCCAAGAAGTCTTCTTATCCCAGGAAAGTGCACAGCCTGAAGGAGGTCGGCATCGGTCAGTGGTACTCCAAGGTAAAAGATCTCTGTGGTCTTAACCGTCAGTCTCCCACATTTCCTTTTATCTCTCATTTACCCAGTGAGGCGGCAGCTGAGAAAATTAATAACCACTTTGCTACCATATTTCATACCCTACCCAGTCTTGACCTCACTCTCCTCCCGGCCTACTTACCTTCCCCCTCCCCTCCTCCCAGTGTTCAACCATTTGAAATTGCCAACAAACTCCTGAAATTTAAATCCAAACACTCTACAACCCCAATTGACCTCTCAATCAAAATTTACAAGGAGTTTGCAGTCGAACTTGCCACCCCCCTCTGTTCCATTGTTAATGCATCCCTCAGACAAAGCAAATGCCTTAATGAATGGAAAACCGCATATGTCACCCCTATCCTCAAGGTCCCCACCCCACAGTTCCCTAGAGCCTTTAGGCCAGTTGCCATCACCCCCATACCCAGTCTACTCTGTGAAGACTTTGTTTTTGAATGGGCATCTGCTAGTATTTATCAGTCAATTGATTCACAGCAATTTGAGGACCTCCTCTACATCACACTGCTTAGTTAGTTTCCTGGATTTTCTGCACAAAAACCTGGAGAAACGTAAGACATCACTGGCCGTTGCCCTTGTTGACTTCATGAAGGCTTTCGACCTTCTTGATCACTGCACTGTTATCAACAAGGCCATTGCACTAGAGCTGCCCACCAACCTGGTCTCATTATTATCATTATTGCATACATACATACATACATGCATGCTACATACATACATACAAAGCTGAAGTGAGAAAATTCTTATGACTCAAATACCTGATAAGTGTAGAGTTGACAGTTTATTCTTGGCCGATATTTCGTCTCAGGAGCTGGACAGGTGTACTTCAGGTAGCTGGGGCAGGTGTGGGTAAGATAGTCACTCAGGTGTGGGATGGGTAATGGAGCAGACGTGCTTCAGGTAATCAGGCAGGTGTGGTTTCGATAAGAAACGGAGAATGACCAGACTCTCTGTGATGGGATGAGGGAGAATGACCAGACTGTCTGTGATGGGATGAGGGAGAATGACCAGACTGTCTGTGGTGGGATGAGGGAGAATGACCAGACTGTCTGTGGTGGGATGAGGGAGAATGACCAGACTGTCTGTGATGGGATGAGGGAGAATGACCAGACTGTCTGTGGTGGGATGAGGGAGAATGACCAGACTGTCTGTGGTGGGATGAGGGAGAATGACCAGACTGTCTGTGATGGGATGAGGGAGAATGACCATACTGTCTGTGATGGGATGAGGGAGAATGACCAGACTGTCTATGATGAGATGAGGAAGAACCAGACTGTCTGTGGAGGAAGTAAGGAGACCACAGACTGCCTGGGAACAACACATATGGTTGATGATAGTGACGAAGGCAACACTGAAGGTGAGAACCCACAGTTGTGTCTCCTTGAGGTGTTATCTCTTCCTTACTGATGAATAACACAATGTTTGTGGCTCACATAAGCTTACTTGGGTCTCCTATGGGGTCAATTGTGTGTCTGTGGATGAGACTCATGTTAATCATATACTGTTTACTTCTCACCAATGCAAAGTTTGGTGTAAAATATCACACTTGTAGTTGGTGTCTTTCTTCCATATCACGCTGGGGCTCGTGTCCTGTTTTTCCTTTCTTACAAAATATTTTTTTGTACACTTTTTCCCTTTTTTCTGGATGATAAGAGGTTTCAAATTTAAAACCTGCGCAGCGTAGCAACAAATATATTGTAAACATGACTATTGAAATAACTAAGCAGGTCACCACTGAAGAAGCAGCGGCCACGCTAAGCGAATTCACTGTGGGGTCTTCGGTGTCTGGTGGGGGTAGCAATTGTGACTCTCCACTTGTGGGGTCACACGTGAAGCTGAAGAAGGTCTCGCCCTCAGCCCTCACGATAAAATTCCTAAAGGTGTTACAAATGTTAAGGCCAACTGATATAGTCTTTGCCGGTCTGTAGTTGATGAAGATCTCAAAGATATTCTGTTCGTCGTCGTACTGCAGGAACAAATAGTGCCACTTTGAAAGGGGACTCAGTTCTTCGATGTGGTCTCGGGTTAAGGTGGTGTCGCCAAAACGTACCTCATGACCCAAGGGCGTCTCGCACTTCATCTCGAAGTTCAGTCGAGCGAACTCTCTGCCAGGTTTGAAGAAAAATTTCTCGCTGCGTTTCTTTAATTCTTTCACAGTGGATAACCTGTTACCTGAAGCTGGCGAGCCTCGGACAGCTGGGCAGTTGATGGGACACCCGACTGCCAAGTCTATTGAGCGTTTGTGTGAGACCTGCAGAAGAGTATCGCTTGCCAGGGTAACACTTCTTGATGTCAGAGATTTAGGCTTATTATTCCCCAGCTGCAGGTTGATGACGCTGTCATTCACCGTGACCTGCACCGTCGACCAGTCTCCGATTTTCATCTCATGTAAATTCCACAGGTGAAAATCAACGACATCTCCTTCACATTTCCCTTTAAATAGCGAAAGTCTTATATCCGGGTCCTTGACTTCAATACTGACGCAGACGAGAGGCGCCTCCTCCTCCTCCTCCTCCTTATTGTGGACTGTGAAGTCCAGCCGCCAGCCGAGGGTGAGTGGCTTAGTGGTGATGTTGACGGGGAGTGGCACAAAGCGTGTGGGCAAATCACCATCTTTTAAAATCACACAACGCTCCACCGTATTTTCCGTGTTCACCAGGGTAACCCGGGCGAGGAGGCACCAGCACCACACAGCCAGCACACTGCACTGTCTACGCGTCGCCATTATGACTAAGCAACACACTGCTCCCCGCCCGTGAGGTTCGGTGTCCAGATAAGGACCGACCAGGTATTAATCTTATCTTCGGTAATCTTATCTGTAATATGGCATGGGCACATTAATAGATCATTATATTGACGTTACTAGACAATGACTCCTGGACACAAACATGAAATGGATACACTTCCCACCGGCCGATCAGTTTGACGTGAGTGAGTGGAAATTTCTTGAATCAATTATAGCAGCATCCGATCGCATCTAGAAAAGCAAATTAATCTACGACTCTCAACATGGGTTTTCAAAGGGAAAATCTTGTCTAACAAATCTGCTAACGTTTTTTATGAAAGTCTTCGAGGTAGTAGATAAAGACGAAAATTACGATGTTATTTACTTCGACTTTAGCAAAGCATTTGACAGAGTACCGCATCAGAGGCTTCTGAGAAAAATTAAGGCTCATGGTATCGAAGGAAAGTTTTAAATTGGATAAAATCATGGCTCACCGATAGAACGCAGAGGGTCAGCGTAGATGGTGTTAAATCTGAGTGGGGCCGTGTAACCAGTGGGGAGTTCCCCAGGGGTCAGTATTAGGCCCACTCTTGTTCATAATCTACATAAACGATCTAGAATACTGGGATCAGCAGTGACTAAGCAAGTTTGCGGATGACACCAAAATAGGGCGGCAGATTAATTCAGGGCAGGATGCAAATGCATTACAGGAGGATCTAAATAAACTGCAGGGGTGGTCTGAAAAATGGCAAATGAAATTCAACACCAGCAAGTGCAGCATACTTAATATTGGAAGAACAAATACTGTCAATGTATACAGCCTTAACAACATCAACCTAGAGAAGTCGACTTGTGAAAGAGACCTAGGGGTACTTGTAAGCCCAGACCTACGGCCTAGAAAACAGTGAGTTAATGTTCGAAATAAGGCAAACAGAGTATTGGGTTTTATATCTAGAAGTGTAAGTAACAAGAGTGCAGAGGTCTTATTACAACTATATCTTGCGCTAGTCAGGCCGCACCTCGATTATGCGGTTCAGTTCTGGTGCCCCTATTATAGAATGGATATAAATTCACTAGAGTCGGTGCAGCGAAGAATGACAAAAATGATTCCGGGACTTAGAAACCTTCCATATCAGGATAGGTTAAAGAAACTTAACTTGCATTCCCTAGAAAGACGAAGAGTGCGGGGAGATATGATAGAAGTATTTAAGTGGGTGAAAGGAATCAATAAAGGGGATATAGATAAAGTTCTTATAATATCCGAGCAGGATAGGACTCGGAGCAACGGATTCAAGTTGGATAAGTTTAGGTTTAGGAGGGAGATAGGAAGAAACTGGTTTAAATAGGGTGGTGGACGAGTGGAACAAGCTTAGCAACTTTGTAGTAAGTGCTGGAAACGCTGGAAAGTTTCAAAGGAGGCTAGATAGATTCATGGATGATAGAGAGTGGTAGTAACTCTCGACAGGAGCTGCCATGCACAGGCCAACCGGCCTATTGCAGACTCCATATTTTCTTATGTTCTTATGAGTAACTCACCCTATGGATCGCGGTGTCAATGACTCACGTGTGACCTGAGGGAGGCCCAGCAGCTGGGGACTCCAACTGCAGGGGCGAGTTGTCCCTGCTAGCTGGGGACTCGGTGCTGAGAAGGGAAGTACCTCTCCTGACCTCGATTTGTGACGAGTGTGACTCCGTCTGGTTCTGGGTTCTCTCTCTCCCTGTCTGTTTCCTGGAAAGAGCTGAAGGGCTCTTTATTGGAGGTCAAAGTACGTAAAAACATTGATTAAAATACTGACTGTTTGACTCTATTATTTTCATCAATGTTTTTACGTGCTTTGAGAATTTGCAGCCCGGAATTCATTGATGAGGATTAAAAATATATCTATAATATTGGCTTGAACCTTAAGTACCCTAGATCTTTCATAGACAAATGCCTTAACATTACTAAGAGATCTTTTTATAGAACTGATCCCAAGCCCACCCATGACCATAAGAATCTCTTAGTATTACCATTTCACAAAAAATTCCCTCAAATTCCTTTACAACTAAAAACCTGGAACGTCAATGTGGCATTTAAAAAAACTCATGCACTGTTAAACAAATGTTAATCAAGAACTCCCCCAACAATACAAGTGGCTGCATTTATAAGGTTTCTTGCAAGGAATGTAATATGTTTTACTTAGGCCAGACAGGTAAAGATCTTGTAACTAGACTTAAACAACATAAATAGTGTTAGGACAGGCCAGAAATCCAATGCTCTGCTATTCATTTGAGGGATAACAAGCATTGCATTGACTGGGATAATGCCTCCTCAATATTACCTTGTAATTCAATTGACAGTCGGAACATTATAGAATCTAGTCTCATTAAACATACCGAATCACTCAACATGAATTTGAGTAATGGTATGTACAAACTGGATAATTTCGAAATTAAGAAGATTTGTAACCAGGTGAGAAGGTTGGGTCAGCTTGCCCTCTGACCTGACTACCGACTGCTGCGGTGCTTTTTGAAGATTAATAGGGTCATTACCTAATACCTGACCATTGTGGACTTGATTTCTCCCTCCTCTGTATATGTATACCTTGTTATGTACTTCTCCTTAGTCTGTACTCACCCATGAAGATGTGAATTACACAAAAGCGCTTGGGAACTTCGTGTTTTCTTCTTTCCTTGTGGTTATCAGCATATACCTGGATCACGCGCACCTACAGTGATTTACTTGCATATATATATATATATATATATATATATATATATATATATATATATATATATATATATACATATATATATATATATATATATATATATATATATATATATATATATATATATATATATATATGTATATGTATATATGTATGTATGTATATATATATATATATATATATATATATATATATATATATATATATATATATATATATATATATATATCAGAAACAGAAAACCTCATTAGCAGTGTCTAGGTAGGGAACGAACTTGCAAACAGCGGTGACAAAGAAATTAGATTCCAGTTAGAGTTTCAGGGCAGACGTAAGGAAAATTCCACTAAAGTACCAGATTTCAGAAGGGCGAACTTTGACAGTTTAAAGAGGCAGCTGAGAGAGGGGGTGTCGCGCTTGGCCGTGAACTTGACAGATGACACCGACCTGATAACGAGATCTGAGATTGCCGAGTTCCACGACAATTTAAATAGTGAGTTACTTAATGCACAAAGGCAGAACATACCATACAAAAAACTCAGATCAGACAACAATGACCCTAAATGGATAAATAATTATTTAAAGAACATCATTATTGAAAGGAAGGCTATAAGTGAAGGATAAATGCGTGGCGAGAATTCACCTCCGTATTATTATAGAATTGTTGGCGAGTAGGGTTAAAACCGAGATAAGGAAAGCAAAAGAGAATAATGAGGTAAGGATAGCAAGGGAGGCGAACAAACCCCAAGGATTCTGCAAATTATAATGAGACAGAACACAATGAGAGAAGATTACATATAAGTAGG